GGCGAGTGCATCTTTCCGCCTTTTACGTAAGCATACATTTTGTGAGAGCACTGCAGCGAGGCCCACCACACGCACCCACCCACCCACCCACCCACAATCTTCCCCCCAACCCCCACGTCCTCCTTGTCGTAACGGCAACGGTTTTTTGTTGTTTTTTTGTTTTTTCGTTTTGTTTTGTTTTGTTTTCTGACTCCAGTGCGTGCCGAAGTGTATTGCTTTGTTCATTCTTTCGAGTATGAAGATTGATCTGCGAGCTATGGCGTTGGGAGTGAGTTGGTGCCCATAGCGTGCTATATAGCGCCAGGCATAGCTCGCTGTCGCGCGCTTCGCGGATCCTCATCTTCTTTTTTTTTTTTTTTTTTTTTCCAGATCCGATCTTCATGTTTACTGTCTCGTCGGAGGATTTGCTGATTTCGAGATTTCCTCACGTTCGTCTGGCCGTGTAATCACGGTTCACGTGATTACACACCACGCTGACTGTGGTTGTTACTCATCACATCATCACGTGTGCTTGCTACCCATCACATCACGTGTTTGGTCTCTGTTCTATCATTCTCTTCTCCCCCTCCTCATCGTCGTCGTCGTGGTGTGAATTTTCTTTTTATTTCTTTCTTTTCTTTCTTTCGTTCTTCTTTCTTTCTTTCTTTCTTTCTTTCTTTCTTTCTTTCTTTTCTTTCTTTCTTTCTTTCTTTCTTTTCTTTTGGTCTCGCAGCCCGATACATCATTGAACTGACCGGCCCCAAGTAAGGGCATATTCACACTAGGACCGGCTCCAAGTAAGGGCATACTCACTCTAGGACGTTTTTACGTATTTTTGGACCGAATCGCAGCCCGATTCATCAAGCTATGGCCGTGAATGCGGTCCGATACATTTGAGATACTGCAAGTGTGATTACGCCCTAATTCAGAACGAGTTCATTCTGATCGTCATGTGGTTGCATCTGGATCCGAATCTGGATCCGAATCGGGATCCGAATCTGGATCCGAGTCTGGATCTGGATCTGGATCTGGATCTGGATCTGAACTCCGGTGTGTACTTGAGCATTCCAGATCGCGGGGGGGGGGGGGCAGACCCGTTTTCCGGCTTGTGTGTGTGTGTGTATAATAAAGCCTCTCTAATCAGAGAGTTGTTTTGACTACGGGATTGGCTTTCGACCTTTTCCTATGGGGGCGAGGGGTCATTGTCTATTTGTTCCCCGGGGGGGGGAGGGGGGGCGGGGGCGGGTGCGGCTTTGGGGTCTTTTCTATTCGGGGTGTCCTGGCGGGAGTTCTCATGCCTTGTTACTTGTCTGGACTGGTTATGGTCCAGATACATTGAATATGACGGATGGATGCGAACGTATCCCGGCCACAATGAGGACTAGATACGTGTTGAATGTTGTTTAGTGGAGCCTGGGCCAGATACATCCTCACGGATCCAGCGTGTACCACTGGATGTGTGCCACGGCCTTCGTGTCTTTTTTTTTGGTTTTGTTTTTTTATTTGGCCCACGACCGTTTTGTTCGTTTCACGGTATCCATCGGTAAGGTTTTTTTTTTTTTTTTTTTCCCCCCCCGTAAACATCGGCGAGTTGCACATCTGTGGCGCTGGACGCTTTTCTTACGTTAACTTCTGTGCCTCGCCCCACTAACTGACCACATGCACAGAAGACAAAAAAAAAATGGCAGTGTATCTTCCAATGTTATAGCGGAAGATTCATTCTCATTTTGCATATTTATTTGTGAGTGGTGGAGCGAGGCCCTCTTATGTGATCACGATTTGCCATGGCTGATTCTGGACGCGCGATTCTCCTCGCCCTTTCCATCCACATGCCTTGATTTGGAATTATCAGAGAAGACTCACACTACGGTAGTACTTTCCAAAATGCATATCTGACTGCGATCACGTCCAGAGAGCTTGGTAGAAAAAGTCCTACCCTGAGGAATGTATTTTAGTTGTAAAACCCTCTTTTGTTGTTCCGATTAAAAAAAAAAAAGAAAAAGATAGTGACTTGATTTGGAGGATTGCTTTTTTTTTTGTTTTGTTTTGGTTTTTCCACTTTTGCACATGGTCTTGGTGATGTCGAGGCTGGTGTCCTCCTCTCTTCTCCTTCTACTTCCATTTCTGGCCTTTGCCAAATTCCACAGCTATGCTACGATTTAATTCTCTCTCCTCTCCCCCCCCCCTTCTCTCTCTCTCTCTCTCTCTCTCTCTCTCTCTTTTGGCCCTCTTCTGTCTGTGGAATCGGAAGTCGTCCTCGGCCTCTGGTTTCTCGGTGTCATCGTGACGCCCACGTTTTCTGCCAATTTTTTTCTTTTTCTTTTTTTTTTTTTTTTTTTTTTTTTTTTTTTTTTTTTTTTTTTTT